GGAGTAGCAATCTTATTTGCAGACAAAGTAGATTTCAAACCAAAACTAATTAAGAGAGACAAAGATGGTCACTACATCCTTGTGAAGGAAACAGTTCAAGAGGAAGAGATGACCATCATGAATATGTATGCACCAAATATGAATGCCCCCAACTATACAAAATCAATATTAATGGGCATGAAAAATCAAATAAGTGCTAATACAATTGTAGTAGGGGACCGCAATATCCCACTAAAACAAATAGACAGATCATCTAGACAAAAAGTCAACAATGAAATTCTAGAACTGAACCAATCTATTGAACAAATGCTCTTCATAGATGTTTACAGAGTGTTCCACCCCACAAAATCAGAATACACATTCTTTTTGGCTGCACACGGGTCATTCTCCAAAATAGACCACATGCTAGCTCATAGGACATTTTTAAGTAAATGTAAAAGAATTGAAGTTACTCCCTGTATATTATCAGACCATAGTGCAATAAAATTGGAGATCAATGACATAAGAAACTGCAAAACTCCGACAAACACATGGAAATTATATAATACCCTCCTGAACAATCAATGGGTCACATAGGAAATTAAAGAAGAAATTGGACAGTTTCTACAAGTAAATGATAATACCAGTACCACAGGAATCTATGGGACACAATGAAAGCAGTTTTATGAGGGAAATTCATAGCAGTGAATGACCATATTAGGAAAACTGAGAACTCAAATAAATAACCTAATGCAGAACCTCAAGCTCCTAGAAAAAGAAGATCATGATAAACCCAAAGCTCATGCAAGAGAGGAAGTTATAAAGATCAGAGCAGAAGTCAATGCAATGGAGACTAAGAGAATGATACAAAAAAATCAATGAATCAAAGGGTTGGCTTTGTGAAAGAATAAATAAAATCGATAACCCCTTAGCCAACTTTATCAACAAAAGAAAAAAAAAGGCTCAAATGCATGCAATTAAGAATGAAAAAAGTGAAGTCACAACAGTTCCAGCAGAAATCCTGAGCATCATCAATACCTACATCGAGAACCTGGACTCTAATAAAAAGGAAAACACAGAAGAAATGGACAGATTCCTAGATACATATGAATTGCCAAAGCTAAATGAAAAAGATACAGAAATTTTAAACACCCCAATTACAATGAGTGAAATTGAAAAATATAATTAAAAATTTACCAACAAAGAAAAGCCCAGGTCCTGATGGCTTCACTGCTGAATTCTACAAGACATTTAAAGAACTATCACCATTACTCTTTAAACCCATCAAGGAAATTGAAAGGGAAGCAAGACTTCAAATTCATTCCTGGAAGCAAGTGTGACTTTGATTCCAAAACCAGGGAAAGACCCAACCCAAAAAGAGAACTACAGGCCAATCTCCCTAATGAACAGAGATGCAAAAATCCTCACCAAGATACTGGCAAACAGAATACAGAGGGCCATCAAGAA